GGAGATGATGAATGGCTGGGAAAGGGGGGAAACGCACAGACAACCCTCTTTCCCCACCATCCCACCAGGCCTTTAACACATCTTGTTGGAATACAGAAACAGACATGCAAAGTACATACATGGCTCCTGGTGTTTACTGCCACGATTCTGCTCGCCGCCACACACCTCACTCCAACATCTAAGCTACAGAGATCATAGCTGTGCATGGCTTACCTTAACTACTGTATAATAAACAAGCAAACACCACGTGGAATGACAGGCCTGTGCAAGCACTGTAAAACAACATCATGGCCTATATCCATACACAGCCCATGTACAGCTTAGGTCTGCAGATATTAAATTAAACTTCTAGGTTACTTGCAGTGACGTAAGAACATTCACTGCTATAAAAAAAAAGGCATTTCAGTAAGTCAAATACAGAAGGTTAAAAAAGACTTGGTCCCCTCCAGACCCAAGAATCTCCTCAGGACACTCAAATTAAATCCTTGAATCACTGTGAGCTTACAAAACCTCCCCATCAATGTATGAAGAAGAAAATTCTTGGAGGCAGATGAGCACTGTTCATTTCGGAACAGGAGGGATCTCTCTCTCTCTGTTTTTTGCTTCTTGAGCGCACAAGGCAGGGAGACAGCACCGGAGGCCCAGTCCATGACAAAACAAAAGAATAAATGACCTGTGAATGTGACTTTCCTTTTTTCCAATAGTTCACATTCAACTTAGAGGCCTGCTGCCCCCTTCTGGAAGCTGCTGAGACACCATCAAGCAAGATAATGTAATGCCTGCCTTCCTATTCATGTGCCTGGGATTTAAATTATAACCGTACAGTGTCTTTGGTGTTGATTAAATGTGCAGCAATTACAGTCAGGATAATATATGGACTCTAGATACACTGAGCAGTTTATTATGCTGCATTGTATAAAAAGCCACTGCATGTAGCACTTTAAAAGCCTACACGCTGATTTAATATGTATCACTCCATCTATCTCTTCACTAACACCTTGCACAACATACCATAATACAACTTCATTCCTGCCTTTAAGATTAAAAAATGCAGAAACCTGGCCTCTTGACATACAAAAACAGAATGCAAATATGCAGGGGCCCCCTCTCAAGTGAGATTTTAGTGTTGGCTAAGGCCAAATGTCAACCAGCTCAAACAGATGGTGTGAAGAGCTGGCCGAGTGGCTGACCTTGGCTGTCGGTGACTAGGGGTGGGCGGGCAGCGCCATGCAGGCGTGTTTATTATCTGTGCATTGGTGGCTGTTGTGAGCATCAAGACAGAAAGGTGAAGTCGCATCAGGTCTGCTTGCTTTACAGGTGCTTTCTGGCTCTGTGGGACACCGTCAATCTGTCACTATGACAGAGAAATGTCAGAACCAGATGGACGTCATACAAAAGGTTTTTACTGCTGATAACCGTTGGATAAGCAGGACAGCGTAATACTTATTATTGTTATCATGCGACATGGCAATCATTTTTTGTTTCCTTGTTTTTCCTATGAAATGTCACAGTTTTCTGGAGGCCCTCTGTTGTGTCGAATGGAGAATGTGAATATATTATTTTTAACCATGAATGACTTTTTTATTATTAACTCTTCAATTAACTATGGTCTAAAAATTTGTGAGAAAATAGTTTTTTTTTAAATGCCATCACAATTGTTCAATTTCCAAAGAAGAAAAGCTCAAATTCACTTGTTTTGCAGAGAATGTAACTGTCCAGTGAAAACAGTGCATCTCTGGATTTAGTCATTTAGAATTTTTCAGCTAAACTGAAGAATTAAGTGCTTGTTTATGGTTTTAAATAACTCCCATACTTTTGAAACTAAAGAAAGCATTTAAAAACCCACTGAATTATCTCAAAAACACATTGTCACAAAGCAAAAACAAGGCTGGGACAATATGTAGTTTACAGCTGTGTAGAAATTTAAGAACATTATGTAAACTTAGATTTAAAAAAAGAAAGAAAAGAAAGTCTTTTTCTATCAAGCAGTAAAAATCTGTATTTTATAGAGGTGTAAAAATACCAAAAGTCCACAATACAATACTGATATTGAAAAATTAAGACCTTTAAGGTGTCCAGGCACCGCTACCTCTCAACTATACTACAGTAGCTACCATGTTACCAACTAGTGTCAGCTCTTCTACTGTTTCTAAAAACCCCTAGGGTTCGAGCCAATATTATTCGACTGTGTGAAATGAAAGGTCTCCATACAGACTAGCAAGGCGCTGTGGGGATTTCCCAACCTTTCATGCACCTACAGCAATGTTTTTCATGTACACACTTAAAAAATGAAATTCCCCCAAATTTGCTCTCTTATCACTACTAGGAAGGGCTTGAGCAATTTTTTTTTTTAATCAAGGGTTTCTTACGTTCTCCAGTTCAAAAGAAAATCATATTCTACACTAGGTCTCTCTTGATTTCTGGTAGACTGAACAAGGAGCTTTGAAGGCAGGCAGGAAGGTAGTAGATGGATAAGTGAAATTCACCTCTGAACAAGCGCCTGCAATTTCCTGCAGCCCTTTTCACCAACACATACCTACAGTCCGAGCTTGGTCACACATCAGTGTCTCTGAGAATGTACTGATCTACAATTAATGCCAAAAAACGAGGACACTCCTGTGTTTGCAAGATGCTTCTAAGAGCAGGTTATATGCAAATGTTTCAGCTTGAAATTATATCCCTTCAACTCTATGCTGTGTATAGCGTGCTGGAAAAAAAGAGACAACTCGACAAGACATTCTTCTTGGATACCTATGATTACTTCCTGAAGTGAGTGAACTTGAATCTACATTAGCAGTGGTTTCTACGGGAAAAGATGTCTCTAACATAATGATACAATACTGAGGCAGCCACTTCGAAATATCCCCTTTCCCTCCAGAGTTGAGGGCTTCCTTTGATCATCAAATAGTTCTACTGAAAATCCACTCTGTTCTTGAATTATCTGGGCCGCTGAAGTGGAAAGTGAATTTTCTGTGGAGGCCAAACCTTCTTAAGAGAAAGGAAAAAGAATAAGGAAACTAATAAAAAAGTGTGAAAATGACATAAATTGAATAAGTGTGCCAAAAAATATATATATATGGCCCTTTTCTGAGTGCGACAGAAGAAAAGTAATCAAGGTCCTCAAGCATTACAACTGAGCATCGATGAGGAAATAACTCTTTTTCTTTCTGTCCCCACATATACAATAGAAAACAGTATGAGGAAATAGTGTTATGGTGTTCACTCAACAACTGTGGTACTTACTCATCAACCTGAAAGGATTTATACATATTTAGGCAAGGCACTGGCTGTGCATAACTGCAATGTTAAAGTTGACAGAAAAAGTACTTAATAAAGAGTTATAAAGCAAATGCATTTATCTAAATCCGCTCAACACAGAATTTAATTCTTATATGGTACAACAGTTGCTGCCCTTGGACTGTGATTAAGGTGCTAACACGCGGCCGTTTGTCAGTTCTAATGTAAATTGCCTGTTAGCTACTGTCAGTGGCACCCTGTTTAATTTGCCCAGCTTGATCACCGTTTGTTGTGGTTGGAGTTAAGTGCGCATTTTCATATCCATGCATATTCATACTGATTCATCCTCGTCAGATGCAGCTGAATTCATTAGGAAAGCCTCCCTGTTAGCCAGCAGAAACAACAAATCAGCACTGATTTTTTTTCTTCCCGTCCGTGTATGTTTCTCATTGGTTACAGCGGTGGTGATGTGTGGCTGTTTTCTGTTTTATGTAACACCACAACCTCCAAACAGCTTCTCAGGTTAGACACTTCACAAGCTAAAATTAGTAAAGCAATGCAGGATGCACACTGTCAGCCCTAAAAGAGTGGAAGACAATTCTACTCTAATCATGAATACAAGGAGCTTAATTTCTGTAAACACATTTTCAGCTAAGTGACAACTAACTTTTCCAGCCCTGCAGTGGGAGAACCCAGCAGATAGCTTTTTTCTTTTTTGTGCATGTGTGTATGACTGTGCATACCAATTACAACCCCAAATCAGAAAAAGTTGGGACAGTATGTAAAATGAACAAAGAATAAAACTGATAAGGTATCACATCAAATAATGTGCTGCTGTATAGTTTTCAATGAAATAATGTGACACAGATGGTTACAAAACACTATTTGGTTTCAATTTTGATTTTACATAGCGTCCCAACTTTTTCTGATTTGAGGTTGTTCGTACCATTTAAAGCAGAAAAGGGAGCGGGAAGAGACAGGGGGAAAATTGAGCTCTAGCCATTTTGTTTACCGTCGGAGATTTTGATATATCTGCTGCCTGGTAATAGGGAGGCTCAACAAGTTTAAAGTGAAACAGACAGCCACATTCTCGCACATTGCTGCTTGAGGGAAAATCACTGTTGGGAAACTGTGCTCATCCTGTTCAGAATCCAAATGAATGTGGAAGGGACGATGTGAGCGGAGAAAACAGCGAAGCCAGGCAGACAGTCAACCCAAGCAAGATGCAAAAATCACAGAGAAGATGGGTGTAGATGTTTTTTTGTGTGTGTGGATGGGTGGGGGGTACACCCTGGACATTGTATGCACAAGTATGAGATGCAAACTCTATAATGGTGGTGGTGTGCAATAGAGTGCTTGCGACTTGCCATAAATACTCACTAATGCGGCAAACGTGTATTGATCCACAGCTGAAAATAGTCCTGTTTGAGTAACATCTGAATAAAACTACAGCGCCCAGGTGTTTTTGTGACATTTCAGCATTTCCTGTCAGGTCCATTGTGTAGGAGCTATGGCACTGCCCATTGTGTTCTGCAGGTTGCCTATAATGTCGGGAATCTCAGATTTGAACCATATCCTCCTGTTGCACTCACTATGAAGTCACCTATTGTCTATTAAACAGAAATCATTTGATTTTGTCACGTTTATCACATGATTCAATATAAAGCACTGATGCCATCAAAGATGTGTTAATTTAGTTCACACTGCAGAAGAATATTAGTACTCTGTATGACTCTAAACGGCATAAATAAAAGGCAGCTTACCACTGCTTCATCCTCAGACAAAACCCGCTCCGCATCATGGACAAGTGTCACTTTAGCCTGGACTTCATCCACCGTAATACTGTGTTTTAAAAAAACAGATAAAGATTAGAACCATGTGAATTAATGTTGGTAATTTGGTGCAATGATGAGGAATGTCTCAGTCACATCTTTTTTTGGTCCAGTGTTAAATTCTCAAACTACATTTGTCTCAGTCTTGAGGAGAGCTGAGTCAAAGTCCTTCTGATTGTTTACTTAATTCTTATTAAATCCTTATTAACAAAATGTGTTTAAGTAAATTGAATTGCTCAGTTTAAAGGGCATTTCCAGACAGATGTAAACCTTTTTGAATCCATCATATTACAACACTGTAAATGACAACCTGTATGGCAGAGCATCTGACAGGAACCTCATTCAACCTCATTTGCTGTAGTGGGACTTAGGTTTTTTTGAGTAGGAAAAACCCTGAAAACAGTGAATTAAATACTGCACTTTTTAACATAAAGCACAAGCTTTTGGCTTCACCCCCCACCCCCGCCAAAACAACAAAGCATTTTGTGTACAGGCTGTTTAGATTTACCAGACTTATCAATGAACCACTCTTCTGCTTTTCTCTGGAGATAACAGAAGAATGCAGCACTAGCTAACTCATTACATATTAAAGTGCAAAACAACCTTTACTTGTGTTCCAGTTGATATGCCGGTGTGTGAACATTTTCATTTGTGGGTGAGCCCATTTTCTAGGTCGCTTTGGGCTTATTCAGCTCTGCACTGACTCAGATTCTCAGTCATTTTAGCCTATCTCACTCTGAGTGGCACACAACACAGTGCAACACAGCACAATCAAAATCACAAACAGCAGTTCTTATCCTTAGATAAGATTACAGTTGGATCTTTTCTTCAGCCATTCCTCCCTGCTGATGTTTTTCTTCCAAAGGTTCCACCTAAACTAACACTACTGAGCGGAGATAATGACTGCATAGCCAAGATCAATCCCAGGAGTCCATCAAAAGTAGAAGAGCAGGTAAACATACAAAGCGAATAGCTTGTTCCACTAGAAAGGATCAATGCTCATGGTAAGTGCTGGAGAAAAACAATGGCTGTCTCCATTGTGAGGTGGCACTCTGAAACACCTGTGTGAAGATAACCAGCTTTGGCCTCAATCAAAAAGGGCATTCATACGAATATAACCCAATGTATCATAAGAGCGAGTGGTTTGCAACACACACCTACAATAGGTTTGACTGAGAGAGACTGTAATAAACATTAGGGAACTCACTGTGACACTCACCCACTGATAAATCCTGACAGAGGGAAGGGGATAAAAAGCACAACCTGTTTGTGGGCCTCTGGGAGGCTCCATCGTGGTTCATTTCCTGAAGCAGTTGGCAGACTCTATTTATAGACCAGCATACTTGTACCAGTTAATCCTGCACTGGGTGGCCAACTGCCTGCCAGCTGGCACTGTGGGCTGCACTTGTGTGTGGTGCTTGGGAAGGTTCAGAATGAAATAATGCTGAGAAAGTCCACATCTTAATAACCACTATATTGGAGAGAAATACTTTTAGACTGGTCCTTTACTTCTAGACATCTAAAACTACATGTTCAGGATTTCTCAACCTGTTAAACCAAAAATCTAACTTAATATGTGTATTTAAATACAATAATGTTGATCAGCTTTGTGTATTTCAGAGTGGATTCATAACTTCATGGAAAAAATGATGACATTTTTGTCATTAGGCAATTACTGTATTGGTGGCTAAATGGACATAAAAATGAGATTAGTTCACAATATAAATGAGAGCACAATTATCTGTGAATCTGCATTACAGATAATTAGCAATGCCAGAGGATTAAGAATGGGGTAGTGTTTTGCTTAGTGTCATTAGGGACAAAGCCAAGAGCTTTTAGTACAAGACAGAGTCTGCAATGTGCATGCTAATCTGGTTCAAAGTCAGAAAATTGACTGGCAGTGTGCAAGCATGAGGTGTGCTGGTGACTCTCTACTTTGCATTCATAATAACGGCAGCTAAATCAAGCGTGACACTTGGGTGTGTGAGCTGCAGAGCCTTACAGGAAAAAATGGCAATGTAGCATGCATATACAAAGCCTCCATCCACATCCTGCTTTATTCAAATGGACATCAAAACATGTCAGCCAGCTCGTCGAATCTCATTGACTGATGCCCTGAAACAATGGCTGTATAGAAACAGGCAACATTTACAGATATTTCAGCTTAGCAAAGTGTTTGTTTAAATGCAGCCTGTGGAGAGATACTGCTTGGGATGGGGAAGATAGAGCGAATGGTTGGAAGCAGAGCTGGGGAGGGAAAGGGCACATGGGCTGAATAATGGTACACATCCAGGCGCAGGAATACATAAGTGGGCACATAGTGCTCCCTGGAAAATCGCTGCACAAGCACTTCATCCTCAGTGCGGCCATATGTTTTATAGTACTTTCAGTTTACTATGCCCAACCCCGCTTCTTTTCCGCGAGAATATGCCCAGTTATCTTAGGCAGTATTGATTTTTTTTTTCTAGACGTGGTGTGGGAAGGCAAGGAACGTGAAGGTGGGGACAGCAGTGGAAATAAAGCATGTGGGGACACACTCACTGGACACCGTGCACTGTTTTTCTTCAAGCCACCAACATGTTTATGCATCTTGCTGGAAAGCAAAAAGAATGTCATTGTCTTTAAAGCTTGCAGAGGTTAAACATAGCTCATGATAGCATGTTAGTCAGCTTGGGTGGCCCGGGGGAAGCTGGCAGACTGGGGAATGGGGGGTGGAGGATTCAACGATGCAAATGAAACTATGAAAGTTTTCTGAAAAACAAACAGGTTGTAGGACTTTCAGACAATGGGATAGGTGTGCTTAATTCAAAGTGATGAGACTTCATGGGGGTAGTACATGTCAGAGGTAGGAGATTCAAGTCATGACTGATTCAAGTCAGGCTTAAATCACAAATTTGAGGACTTGAGACTTGCTTGACTAACACTGGCAAAAGACTGACTGGTAAATTGACTTTGACTTGAGACAAATGACTATTTTAGATGGTTAGAAGATACATTTTGTTCTTTAAACACAACTAGATGATTTCTAACCCACCAGAAACCGGCAGACTGGGAGGGGGCAACACGGGTCGCAGGATGCAGCTATTATGGAGGAGACTGCTCTGTGGTACATTTTCACAGCTTGACCAGAAGCAGAACAGCACTGGATTTCATAGCAATCTAAATACCGTGACAGAAGCCAGTGAAATCCTGAGAGTGAAACTGTTTCAGGATCAGTACTGACCTTCAAGAAAACCTAATCAAAGA